TTTCTTTTTTTTAGCACCTGAGCCATCACAGACATGTGGGGGTCTTGACAGCTTGCCAAGAGCTGGATTTTGTGGTAAGTATAAATAATAATTAAGATAAGCAGTTTTACACAATACACCATATATCAAAAATGATTGCAGCCCTGTAATTTATTAATATCTCAATGATCCAAACATGCCAGGGGGCTACAGAGCAGCTATCCATACCAACAGCACCCATTCAATGAGGCCACAACATTTAGGTATTGTTTGTTTGTTTATTAGTTTGAATGGCATACAATTTCCACTACAAAGGCATAATCTGAATGCCATCTACTAGCCATGTAAAAGTTTTATCTGATAGCCAGTACAGAATATTCATTAAACATGTAGTTGTACTAACAAATTAAATATAAATATATTTTTAGATTTCTGCAATACACCAAACTGGGATGTCCAGAGTGAAGGACATAGGGTTATGGCACGTCAATCGAAGGCAAGATACAGACAACTTTTTCTGGAAAATGATGAGCATTTTACCATTTTGACATCATGTGTAGAGGATCTTTTTGAAAAATATCAGTATATCAGTTCTGAAAAGTGTCCGGAATAAGAAGTTGTAAATTACTGTTTTGATGCTTGTTTGAACAAATTAAAAAGTCTGTTTTGAATCAGTCAAACCTTCTGATGGACATAACTGATGATAATGATAAACATCACAAAATGTATCAGTATTTTAGTGCTGATGTAATTTATTAATATGTCATTGATCCAGAGATGCCAGGGGGCTACAGATCAGCTGTACATACCACTCAGTCAATGATGCCACAACATTTAGGTAATGTTTCCCCACGTCTTTCTTTCTTTCTTTCTTGCTGTTATTTATTTATTTATATTTTATTGAAAATTGTAAAATGGTAAAAAGAAGAAAAGAAAATGTGTTGCTTGTGTGAACCGCAGATATGGTACAATTACTGGAAATGGCAATCTGGCAATTTTACAGCAGTTACCGTGTTTAATGTGTGAAAGCAGCATTTGTCTTATCAAACTTAAAATAAATGTACTTACATATGCAAATATAAGTTAAATGTTTATAAGAGAGAATCACAATAATGTCTCTTTTGTAGCACCAAGAATGCAAGAATGGAGTCATGAACATAATTCAAGTGTGGATCAACACCAACATGGTATGTTACTTTTTATCTTTGATGCAAAGTTTGATCATGATAGAGCGCTAGTGGCTTCAAGTCCATTTTGAAAACCTCAAAATGTATAAAGTGCTATTGTGAGGCCTGATAATTTTTTTATTTTTTTTGCATACAAATTTTAACTTTTTTGCCTAGAATCAGCCTGGACAGCCAGTGACAATGGAAGCTGGACAGATACCCAAAGACAAAATTGTAAGTAATGTTAAATTGGGTACTCCATCTCAGTTTGTGTTCCACAGAAGGGAGAAATAAAGTCATATATGCAACCCCAAATCAGAAAAAGCATGTCACCCTACACTTTTCTCACGATCTTTTGCTTTCATATCTGTACTATCCTGTTATAATAAGGATAATAAAAATAACTCGTACAAAATTTACTTAAGATTTGATAGATGTTTCTCAGCTGCTTTTCTTTTGTTCAGCAAACGTTCTCAAATGCCTTTTTAAAGCTTTTTTATTGGTAGTCCATTATATTTGAGCTAAACATAATTAATATAACGTACTTTTTTTTAAATGTATGTTTTGGTAGTGTATGCAATAGACATGTATGCAATGTTTTAATAAAGTTGGATTATATGAACTTGTATGGCATTTTTCCTCTTTAAAGTTTCATAGCAGGTTTTACGTTAAAAAGAACAATTAATGATTAACAGTATTTGAAAAAGTATTACATATGTATCTTGTGTTTGATTATTAAGAGATTCACCACAAAAATATAAAATAAAATAAGATGCAGAAAAGGTCATATTTATAATCTGGCATAAAAATAAATGTGGTCGGAACGTCGTCTCGCAGTTGCTGAATGTCGCGTAACAATGTTGCTACAGCTCTTTCGCGTCTTACAATTCAACGTTGCTACAATGTCGGGAGCACGTAGACAGCAACGTTGCCACAGTAAAAATGGAACGTGGCAGCGACGTTGACACAACGTAAATGTGTTTGTTGGGCAGTTGGTTGCCTCGTGTTTTTTTTAAACGTTATTTAAATGTTTTTATTAGGTTGAATTCCGTATTTGCTGGCCTTTTTTTTAACATTCACTTATATTGTCGTCTTACATAAATGTCATAAAATACTGGGATGTGAGTAATTAATCTTTTTTTATTTCAACATTTAAAAAAAGCAAAACTTATAAACATTGAGTGTTTGATAATGTCTAAATATACAATGCAATACATAGAATAAATAAAAAATAAGCTATTATGACCGGTAAAACTCTTTACAGCAACTAGAGTAGAGCTAAATATGTGTCATACGGCCATCTAGTGGTTAAACCATGGCATTACATACATAGGAATATTATTTTTCTCTGATTTGCCTCTTTGCACTGGAATTTAAAAACATTTTCTCTATTTTAACCCTAAATACTACGCTAATTGTAATATAAATAATAAGCATTTACTGCTTATTTACTTATATACCGCTTATAATTTACCGCTTACCGCTCGTTACCGCCACCTGGTGTATTCAGTCAGTCAGTGTATGATTTCATCTAATAAAAATGGAAAAAAAGCTAATACAGTCATAGGCGCCGCTTTATGTTTCTGCCGGTGGGTGCTCAAGCATCAATGCACTCTTGACATCTGGCATTAAAATAATGCCAAAAACTGCCTCAAATGAATACAGTTATGTATTAACGCTATGATAATTTTTGAAGACCTTGATGAACTCGCCCGCCAAAGGTCTGTGCGCCGGAGGAGAAGGTTGAGAATGGCAGCTACTTTTTACTTAAATAGAAGCACAGAGGTAAGTCTTAATTGAAGGTTAGGTAATTGTTCTCATTTTCTAAAATAAACTAATATTATAAACAGCAATACTGTTTATTTTATTATTACAGTATTACTGTTCATTATTGTATATATTTTCAATAGTGAGAGTGGCATACGTCTCACGTCATCCACGTACCACAGTCAGCGGAAGTGAGAAAAAAAGTGTTTATTACGTTTGAAATATGGATATTTATCTTACAAAAATGCATGGATTCGCTACAGGATACACTACTGTATACTCTTAATATATATTAACAATAAAAGTAGCAGAATAGCTGTAATTTGCAGAGCATTTGGTGGGAGTTTGAGATAGATATGTGTGTGTGTGTAAATGTATGGTCCTTTGAATGTTGGGGATGGAATATGAATATATTGTATGAATAGATCAAATTCCCCCCAAAATGTGAATTACAGTTTTACAATTACATTGAAATGCCAAAACATTCTGTGAACATTATATGAGTATTTGTGTGTGTGTGAATTAACTTGTGAACAGGACTTTTATTTTGCCCCGTCGGTGTGACGTCATAAGGCTGCGCCGCGCTCCTGCCTCTGTTGTGATTCAGCTGAAGAAAGGTTTGTGTTTTCATCATTTAAAGTTTCAAATCGACGCAGACCGTTCAGACGTGTGTATAGTTTAAACAAGAAAGAACTGATAAAATATTCTTGAGTGTATATTCTATAACGCTTTATGCAACATTTATTATCGCTATTTAGTGTGAGTGAAGCGCATCAGAAAAGGTGCGTCTCGTTTCGCTCCCTATATCGAGAATCCGTTTTTTCATCAACACGAATTTGCTCAGTGGCAAGTAGTGATGGAGAAGCAGAGCTCTTTGAATGTCCGAATCAATTGATTCGCCAAATGACTCACTTGAATCGCTCGAATCACCGCTCGCTGAGGACACCGAGGGCGTAACTTGAAGTTGTCCAAATCACGCGAGATGTCAAAACGAGATGTTGCATACTCTCTGCGTAGGCACTTAATTTCAAAAAGTACTTACTTAACGAGCGTTAAAAGAGTACGTACTCTACAGCCGAATCTCGTTGAGTATGAATGCGATGTTGATGTTATGACATTACAACTTAATGTCGCAACAACTTACAAGACATGAGCGACAGGTTTAAGTCATCTTTCTGTAAGTATCTTGATTGATGAAACGTGCTAATTTTGTGGTCATGTTGAAGAAACAGCTGACCTTTTATTGTGATTGTAGTATAGCCAAGAAATGTTGGGTTCATTTAAGTTCTTAAATTTTTAACCCTACTAATGTGACCCACCGTTTTATCCTTAAAGGAATTTTTAATTTTTAATTACGAAAACCCCAAATCGTTATCTCTTGAATATGTTGCTAATTTCTTCATTTTATGTGCAAAATATTTCATCCACAACCAAAAGTGGCTTAAATCTATTTTGTTTTCTTCTTTTTCTCATATTATGATGAACGCATGATGTTTTATGTCATTATGATTGTCCATTGTAAGATACAACCATCTGTCCCTGATCTTATATATAATTATAAGTTCGGCAATAATAATAAAATTATCCACAAATATGCTTTTTTCACTCAAAAACTGATGTACGTAAGCTCAGATTAATGAGGTCTACGATTAATCCGTTCCAAAACTAAACACAAAACCAGTCCTAATTGAAAGAAAGCAAGCTGACAAAAAGATGTGATAATATTGCATAACGATATTTATAAGCTGTTTTTGTGCCCCGGTCATTTTAACACCACAAGTGTTACAGGGATTTAAACACAACCTGAAGGTTAAATTGTATGATTTCCAGAAAACACGAACGGAGTATGTCATCTCTGAGACTGTTATTATACGATTAAAAATGTAAACGCAGCTAATGCATGGCATTCACATCAGAAAAATGTGAATATCTAAAAGACAGACATGAACACATACCAGCAACACAAGACAACATCAGATGAATATATGCATCTAACTTTGACATCTGTGGTAAAGCAGTACAAAAATACACTCACACACAGCAGAATTCACTTAATTTATATTTTTTCCTCAGAAAGCAAGACTTAAATATCTAACGTCATGTTGCTTATCTAGTAAATGCAAATTGATTTAAGAATTCTTAGTATTTTTGTCTTGTTTCTAGTCAAAATATCTTAAGATAAGCCTTTTTTGCAGTGATTTTGTTCTTTTTTTCCCAGTTGTACACTGCAAAAAATGCTTTTCTAGCTTATATCTTTTGTCTTGTTTCCAGCCAAAATATCTGAAAAATTCTTAAATCAAGAAAGATTATCTAGACAAGAAATTGTAATAATAATAAAATTATCCACAAATATGCTTTTTTCACTCAAAAACTGATGTACGTAAGCTCAGATTAATGAGGTCTACGATTAATCCGTTCCAAAACTAAACACAAAACCAGTCCTAATTGAAAGAAAGCAAGCTGACAAAAAGATGTGATAATATTGCATAACGATATTTATAAGCTGTGAGTCATAATTAAAACGTTTTTTTGAAATCACATACTCTCTTGCTCACTCATACAAACACACACACACACACATACAGTGCAGACACACACTCAACTTGTCGAAGCCGCTCTGATGATTTTATCAATAAAATTGTTTCACAACTTAAAAGCTACATGACGTTCTCATCACAGAGTTAGTAACGTTGCTGTTCTTGAAGCAACTAAACTTACAGCTTGGCACACATCGGGTGATCATTATGCCGATCTGTCACCACTTATTTAGCCCTTGGCCAGACTTTGCTTTTCTACAGGCAGGAGTGCCCTAAGAGCTTGTGTCAAGGCATGTTGTTGTCACAACAGATGCCTTCAGATTGGGCTGGGGCTCTGTATGCAAGAGGCACGCTGCCCCTGGCTCCTGGACAGGACCTCATCTGCAGTGGCATATAAATTGACTCGAGTTCACGATGGTGTTGCTCGAGTTCTGACCGCTGCTTCAGGGCAAGCATGTGCTCATTTGGATGGACAACACTGCGACGGTTGCATACATCAACCATAAAGTGGTTATACACTCACGTCGCATTTATTTGGGAAGCTCAGTTAGACCTGATCGCCTCCCAAGAGTCCTCCATTGCCAGCTGTTTAATTCCCTGACTGAGGCCCCCTCAGCCCGGATGATGGTTGTGCCCTACAGGCCCACCTGGACCTGGTCCTCTGACCTGATGTTCCTTGCGACAGCCTTTCCCTGGCAAATCCCCCTAAGGAAGGACCTTCTCTGCACTTCCAGAGAGTTCACCACCAAGTGAACCCTGGCTGAGCTACTCCAGTACCCTGTGCGATCAGGCTCAGTGGAGGAGCATGACGCCAGGCTCAATACTCATGTTGCATGCCCATCCGGTCAGCCCTTGTACTGTGTTAGGTGCCAATTACATGAGATTCCCGTCAGGTAATCCGGTATATGTATTTTTCCACGGTACGCTTTCCCTTTTGTGTCTTTCCTCTGATAGA